CTGTAATTGAAATAGCTGTATGCATGCAGCCTGTACAAAAACGTCCAAAAACGCAGGGAAATGAACCCGCGAACAAGCATGCTCTGGGAACGAGATTGAATAAGGATGAGAAAAGGAAATTTGGTTTTGAGCGAGTGGAAGCATTGACATCAAGCATTCAAGCACAGAATAGATTCAAGCTGCCAAAACACGAGGGAAAACGTTTATAGATTTACATTATATATTTAACGCGTTTTAAACTGTTTTAAAACCAAATTTGGAAATCATTTTGAAGAAAAAATCTTCCGTTATTTATAAAGAACTGTACTGAAGGATAATTACGTGAAAAATGATGTCACCCGACGCCACACAATGAAACCTGAGCAATTCACTCCAATCACTGGTTTATATATTTGAATATATATGGCATTTGGCAAATCAATACAATCCCTAATAAAGTTTATATGGTAAGAGGTCATTTCTTATATAGTATCGTGTTCTTACCTAAGAGTAATCCTTGATTCCCAACTACATTCCCATTTTAATTAATATGGTTATGCAGATAGAGATTATAAATAACACTAGAGGAGGCATGGCAATTGCTAGATAGTATGCCTCAAAATAAGATTTCCGTTTTTATTCTATTTTTAAAATACGTTAGGGTCAGGTTAGGGTTTAGGTTAGGGTTAGGTCAAGGTTAGGGTTAGGTCAAGGTTAGGGTTTAGGTTAGGGTTAGGTTTAGTGTTAGGGTTAATGTTTAGTTTTGCGTTAGGATAGTTTTTTCTACGTTATAAAAACGGAAACCTTATTTTGAAGTATACTATCTAGCAATCACCGAGGAGGCATCGAGTTTAAAAATTGGGAACGCAGCTAATGGGGGGCAAATTCAAGTCCCGGATATAAAATTGTGCTCTCATTAGCTGATTTGAAACTCGTCACAAATGGGAACACGAATACACATCCGGGACTTGAATTTGCCCCCCAATAGTCGAGTTCCCTTTTTTTTACTGAATTAAGATTACAATGCCTCCTCTAGTG